CTTCCTTCCTTCCTTCCTTCCTTCCTTCCTTCCTTCCTTCCTTCCTTCCTTCCTTCCTTTTTTCTGTTTTTTCTTTTCCTTTGCACTTGTTTACTCTTTCTCCTCTTTTTTCTTTCTTTTAGCTTTTATTAGTTTTTACTATTGCAATTATAATATTTAATACAATTATTTTTTTAAAAAAATAAATATATAGGTAATATGAATCTCCCCACCCTGATTAGTCCATGGAAAGAAAGTGTGCACACACACACACACAGACACACGCATACTCACACACATTACTTATTACACAAAAGGGAGGAGAAATGCCTTCTATGGCCACTGCTGGTAAAAGAGTATGAAAAAATTCCAGTGCTGTGCTCCAGTGACAGAGCTCACTATTAACAGTGGTGTTAATAATTATCAAAGAGAAGGAAAATATGATTACCATCTTAGAATTTCAGTATGCTGATAAAAGCTGCCTTTGCTATATAACTCATTTAAAACTATCAAAGTAACAGAAATCAAAGATCTCCCTCTTGTGGACATTTACAAATACAATAATATTACATAAAAATGGACCACAAGGGTGCTTGCCCAGACATTCAAACATTACATTTCCGTAGCTTAGATTGTTAATACACCTATCTAATTTTAAAATGTATTATTTCACAATATGGAAAAACTAAAAGCCACATGCTTAAAAAAAAAAGTACATAAAATATTTACCTGAAGTGTCTTCTATCCTTTGTTGCTTATTGCAAAGTCCATCTGTAAGATTGGTGCTAGATTTTCGTTTCCCAAGATCTAAAGCATGCATTACAAAAAACATGGAATCAAAGTGTACAATCTCTCATGCCTTCTAAACATATGTATCATCCCAAGACCCTTAGGCTTTTATAGGGAGTGAACCCTTTACTGAAACTTTCCTTTTTTCTTAGTCCCATGTACCCCCGCTACAAACTAGCTTCAAAGTAAGTTTCCAAAACAGTTTTTTCAGGGGATGAGAACCACAATGGAGGGACTGAAAATCAGCCAATACCTGTAGAAATCTAAGTGCTATCTCTCCAGCAGCAACATTATCAAAGCTAGGGATGTGGAACCTGTGCCCCCCCCCCCACAAATGATGCTAGGCTTCAACCTGTAGCAGTCCAGTTAGCATGGGGTCATCAAAAGAACAGAAGTCCTCTGAAATTAAAGCACAGGTCCTGGTGCGGAAGTCACAATGGTGTTAATGTGCACAACTCCTGAGACTGTAGTCCTTGAACATATCCAGCTATGCGCATAGACTGAAGGGGCTGTCAGGTTTAAAAGCATAGAAGCACCAGGCTTCAGGAGAAGATATTTTGGGAGCAATGGTCTATTTGTAGTGGGTTGTTCCTTTTAAGTAGGCTGTGTCATCCTTACGGTTGATGGATACTGTCTGCATAAAGGCTTGGGTTGAAACAATAACAGCTATGCTTTTGTCGGATTATGTTGCAGCCCCAAATATGCTTTACCATCCAATTTTGACTGGTGATCACCATCTTTTTCCCTCAACCTTCATGCTGGCTCTTAACTACCTTATTTGTCTGCCTCCTACACTTTTAGTAAAATATTGAGAAGACCGTAGACAGCAACTGGATTATATTTTGTATGAGATAGAACACAAGGTTAACAAGGACATTATTATGATGCTGTGTTGTGGCTCAGCAATAATAGATGGCCACAATTTTCCCAGGTTTTATTTATAGTTGCAAAGACATGTGAATGCTCCCATTGGGAAGTCATAGAAAAGTGAATGATAAATATATGGTGTAAAAAACAGATTTTAAGTGGATCCGTTCCAAATACTTACAGTTAAGGGATTTTTTCTGCTTATTATCATTCTGGTTATGTAGGGTCCAGTCACCTGTCCAATGCAAAAGAAAATGAAAGCATGTGGTAAAGTAATTTGCAATACTAATAAAAAATGAATAATTATCACATGAACAAAACAGGTCAAAGGGGCATTTACTGTACAATTATCTTTATTATATGCCTTTTAAAAATATATGCCTTACATCTTCATAAGATGTGCATAAAGCAGAAACTAATCAAATTTAAAACTTTACACACAAAAAAGTAGAGTTTCCTACTACTCAGAAGCATATAGCTAAAACAGAAAGGTCTAGTTACATAGGGCCAACTGCCCTGACCACTTGTATATCTAATAGCAATAGAGAAAGCCAAATATGCAATATTTCTGATGTCCAAAGAATGCCCCAAGGTTTGGCATGAAATTTTCCTTCAGTCACTGTAGAAAAGAATGAATGCAAGGAACCATTGCTACAGTACCTGCAATATCAAGGATGCAAGAAACCTTTGATAAATGCAATGGACCTGAGCAAAGGAAAGAAGAATGTGCATTTTTCATTTAGCACTAAGTTTTTAGAGATATAAGCATAGAAATGAAGAGAGAAATCTATTTCCTTGAGTTATAAGGCATATACAGGGAACTGCAAAGGAACAAAGGGAACTATTTTCTGTGGACGGAAAAAACACTGCATGATTCTCTCTCTTTGCTTCTGCTCTTCCTCCAATAAAACTGAGGCAAAGTAGTGATTGGGGCTTTCCTAACTTGGTTTTTCTGCACATTCCAAAACTCAAAGAAGGAAGAGAGGGATCAATATCACTCAAAAATAAAGGAAGTTTTAAAAATTAAATTACAATTTCTGGACCCTTGCTTTCACACCTATCCTAGTTGGGAGCTTCTACCACCACACATGGGAAGTTTTTCCAAATGCTTGAAATCAAGTGTATGCATCTATTTTCCAAAAAATTTATCCCTTGTGCAGGATGCAGATTTCTGTTTCACAATCAGCTGAATTGTCTGGAACTGAGCATTAGCAAAGGTTTTCCTGCAACTGCAAATGTTGCTATTACTGCTAAAAGGAACTAAAATGCTACTACTTAATATTTATATGGTGGGGATGAGAATGTATGAAATGTTCCCTGATATTTCCCTTCCTTAATTTTGCCCAGGAGCAACCAGAAAAGATCAGAATCTTGTTTCGCTGCTTCATAAGCACAATCAGCTGAATTGTCTGGAACTGAGCATTAGCAAAGGTTTTCCTGCAACTGCAAATGTTGCTATTACTGCTAAAAGGAACTAAAATGCTACTACTTAATATTTATATGGTGGGGATGAGAATGTATGAAATGTTCCCTGATATTTCCCTTCCTTAATTTTGCCCAGGAGCAACCAGAAAAGATCAGAATCTTGTTTCGCTGCTTCATAAGTAAAGCAGGATTAAATCACAGTTGTAAAAAATCTGGAATTACAGTGCTTCAGAGAAGGTCAAAACTAAACACCCAGGCCAAATACTCATTCAGCAATTTATTATCAAATAAAATCACTGCATCTGACCTGGGTCAGCACTTCAAACATTATAAATAAGAAAACTCCATTTCTTTCACAGTGCTTGAATTTACTATTAATTTATTAATTTTAAAAATGTATACGCCATTCAAATATTTGAATAAAAATAAATATTTTAAAGCAACTTCTGACTGAAACAAGGAGGGTCATTCCACTAAAAATAAAAAAGAATTAACTGTAAAGATTACAGCCAGACCTTCCAAGTCAGGGAAGATCTAAGAGCATGTAGTGGATTGTAAAGGTTTAGGCAGTCCTCTATGAAAGTACTTTATGTCCTACCCATGTAACTACAGTATTTATTGAAATGCACTTTCCATAGATTACCTATGACTGATTGCCAAACATTTAAAAATAACTATGCCCTACATTGATAATTCTATCTGTCAACAGAAAATAATATTAAATTCAAATAAATAGGTGTTTGTATCCACAATTTCTGCAAAGGCTTTTCCATGAACTAAACTCACAGAAACATTAAAATAATCCCTAAGGTCAAAAGACAGCTCGGTGATTGCATAAGACAGCAGACAGATGTGTACCTTCACATACTGCATTGTTGCCTTAATTTTCCTTCAACCTCTGGTTACCTAAAATCCCCAAACTATTTTTCATATGAAAAACATGAAAAGATTTATGTTCATTCTGTAGATGTTTTTTGTAGGGGCTTTTGAACTAGAACTGATTTTATTTAGAAAAATAACATAAGATGCACAAATTTTGACTGTAGGCAAATGTGTTGATTACAATCCATTACAGCATTAAATTTCTGATAGAATTTCTAGATCCATGTAGCATGCACTGGATTGTGCTCAATATATGCTTACATTCTCTTAGCTTTGCCTTCCACACAACTTCTTCAGACTCCACATTCACCAAAGATAACATAAGTTCCATTGGCTGTTCTAAATATACCTCAAAGAAAGGTTTCTCTGCCAGGGTGGAGTCATCTCCAAACTGAATTTCCTAGGAAAAGGATATTGAAATATAAAAAAGTCTGCTTACTGCGACAAAATATTTTTCTTCTTTGAAGATTTATGAATGCATAAAGCATTTTGTTGTACATGTTATTATAGAAACATAGGCTGGAGCTCACTTAAAATAACTGCCCTAAAACTGGAAGTACAAATGATGCAAACTCTACATATGTTGACAAACCAATTATCAAAGAATGAGAAACATACCTCAGGGGTTATGTCAGCTTCTGGATCACTAATTAATCTGTATTTCTTTCCATTTTGCAGTAATTTATGACAAGGAGGTTTTTCAATTTTAATGAATTTATTAAGAGATCGTCTTACAGTTTTGGATATATCCTAAAAATTAAACCAAATTTTTTAGAATTATCCACATCAGGAAATGGAAAATAATAATAATAATAATAATAATAATAATAGCAGTAGTAGTAGTAGTAGTAGTAGACGACATATTAGATTGCCAGTTTATCAACTTATTTCAGTCTACAAAGGAGTTAAATTATCCCTCCTGCCCAAAATTTTAAATTTATTCATTATATTATATTCCCATTTAGTGTTCTTGCTCCCATTTGTTTTGTCAAAAATTATATTTTGCTAGTTTTGAGCATATATGTAGGAACCCTAGAAGTGTTGTGAAATGTATACAAGTGGTATATAAACATAGCACTTAATTCAGTTATCTGCCTGGCCTTTGTTGGGCAAGATTTCCCACTATTTTATTTTAATTTAGGTCAGAACCAAATCTTAAAAGGTACATACAAAACAAATAAATTAAATTAAAAACACATGGAGTTGAATAAAATATAGGTACATAAATCCAAACAGTAAAATGATAAAATAATGATAAGCAGTAAAGCAGGAACTAACATTGGAAATGCTATTTCAGTCTCCCAAGTGGCACTCAGCTGATCCAGGTTGGGGTGAGTTTAAACCCATTGACTTTTAGTGGCAATGACAACGGAGCCAAACCTAGTGACTTTCTTGAAATGTTTTATTAAGTATCCACTAAAAAGAACTATACAACCCTGACTTGGCCTAACCCCTGCATTTAAGAAGGATGCAGTAGTACAGATTGCCAGTCCTGACATGGTGGGCAGTAATGCAACAGGATATAGACTATGGTTTTGATGACTGCATCTGAGCATATCATCCAGATATGAAATGTCATTGAACTACCCCATCACCAAATTCAATGATAGGGCCCTCAACCCAGCTAACATAAATACTCTTCTGTTTGAGGGGGAAAGTGTCCTAAAATACTAATTTGGAATAGTAAAGATCTAAAAGTTCTTTTACATAATGTGGAACTTCAGATTTGCTCACTTGTAAGTCAAGATCAAGGATGTCATTTGACCTCAGAGACAGCTTCTTCCAGACCCATCATAGCACTTGAACTGAGAAGCCGTAGAGGTAGAAATCTTTGGTTTTATTTTTTTTAAAATGAGAAATCTCATTTATCTATAAGAACAAGTTGGACCAATGAATCACTTCCATAATTTAGTTCCATTATCTTAAGTGACATGCTGTCATCTAAGTGGCTATTGAAGGATATCCTAATTCAAGTCTCAGTAGGGTTTTGGGGATAAATTAAGGATGTGGATAATGTTTCCCATAAATTTGGACTGCGCTGCTTCTAAAAGCTTTCTGTTTTTAAAAGGGTGGAATTGTGCACCATAAAGCGGAATTGTGCATCATAAAACAGAATCGTTTTAGCTCTAAATAGTTTATCTGTTGCAGGGACAAAACTGTTACCTTTATTACATATATATCTAATTATCTCATTTGTAGCTTTTACTACATATATATCTAATTATCTCATTCATAGCCTTTTGTGCATGAGATGAAACTTTGAAGATGTGTTGATTCCATGTGGAGGATGAGTGGAAAGTGATATTGAAAGGACATATTTCTCTGTTTGAACACTGTTAATTTGCTCTTTATGTTAGCAAATAGAGTGTCTTTTTGAAAACAAGAGCACCTTCATTTTGGCATAATTAATTGTAAGGTTTTTGGGGGGGTTTTGTTAGCGAAGCTATTTAGTGATTGCAGGCTCCTCTGAAGACCTACGTGAGATAAGGAAAGAATAGCAGCATTGGGGTATAATAGAATATAGATATGTCTATGTGCTAATGCTAGAAGTGAAATTCGTTACTGTCATTGCAGTGAAACAGGATTCCAACAGCTATTTGGCTATATGTATATCCATGTCCATTCTGTTATGTCAAGCTGTTGTTGAATATTATACGCAACAAGGAGCCACTATGATTAACACACTACTAAAGATAATCTGATTGCTTTTTTGATTATCCAAAGAAAATGACAAATTTGCAGTAATCCTAGGAGATGTAGAGAAATTAGTAGCAACTTACAACTGCACTAGAGGAATTGCTATAGGTCAGGTCAGACACAAATCAATATACATGTCAGGACAAGAAAGAGGAAGAGGGTTTCTGAGTCTCAATTTACCTCTTCTTATCCAGAACCTGTGTGATAGCTGTTACTGAACTCTACCCACGTGCTAGAATATTTTATTTTGAGACCTGGCATTTCTTGTGGTCACTTGGACTATAGGCTCAGATCAAAGACTATTTATATTTTCCAAGAACAAGTTAGCAAAAAAGTTGACCTTACGATATCACCTCATAAAAGAAACTTTCATATAAAGCAAATATATGACTTGACCTGTAATATGAACTTACTTTTTGCATTATCTCCTTTTTGATATCTATGTATCCATCTATCCATCCATGTCTTTATCTACTTATCTATCTATCAATCATAGATGCAAAGGGCAGTGGGGAAAAAGATAAAATCTACACAGAATCATAGCTATACGTGGCATCTTTTGGCCTGAGGAATAATTTGGGACAACTTAAAAAGCTCGCATACAACTTTGAATTAATTTGATTGGTCCTTAGAAAGGTACTGCCCAATTACAACTCTGAACATGCATGTATTTGTTGTAAACCTTGTGGGCTCAATCTTCAGATACAAGCAGATGTGTTTCCTAAGCTGTTACTGAACTCTACCCACTTGCTAGAATATTTTATTTTGAGACCTGGCAGTTCTTGTGGTCACTTGGACTATAGGCTCAGATCAAAGACTATTTATATTTTCCAAAAACAAGTTAGCAAAAAAGTTGACCTTACCTTTATAAATGAATTGTTATTTGTAGCTATATACACACGGAATTTCAAGGAAGGATGATCATTGATAACTTTATATAAAATGACTACTCCATGATAATATACTGGATCATATCTCTCAATTACTGGCCCAACTGGAGATAGTGAGCTCACATGCCACTTGACATGTGTGGTTGAGTGATCAATGGAACATTCAAATTCCGGACCATTCTTTTTGAAATGGAATACTTTGAAGGGCTTCTCAGACGAATGATCTGCACACAAATTCCAACATATTAGATCTTTCTAAATAATGTGCCCCAATACATAAATATGTGTGATAATATTCACAATGAACCTTACCATTCAGGCAGAGGGTGTGTGGAAACTGAATGGAAGTAAGAACGGAGGATGTACATTTGATATCAAATATAGGGCCCACCACAATCCAAGGATCTTTAACATAAGCAGCATATTTGCTCCAAGACAAAACTGAATATTCAATGGTAACAGGTTGGGTTACTTCAAAAATTAATCCTGTTGCTGTACATTCATAAGTTCCTTCACCATCCAGCTTCAAGCTAAATAAATGACACAGAAAAGATCACTCTCAGAGTCTATAATATAGTTTGTTACAGAGTGGATCATATGATGTTTAACTATTCTCTACATTTTTTATCCTTCCAAATAAATATTTAAAAACACATGGATGTAATATTGATATTAGCATAGCTCTTCTTCCTATGAATAGTAAGATAAGCCATTGTTATATTTTACTGTCTAAAATAATATGCTAATTAAAAATGCTTTAAAATTGTTGTCCTACAAACCATTTCTTAACAATGCAAAAAAAAGATGAAAATAACAATTTTTATTTTTCAGTACAAAAACCCTTACCAAGCAGATTACTGAGTTGTTAATATAATTAGTAGAATTAGTGTGCATAATAATACTATCTTCTTAGACTGTGTTTCTTACATTCCATGTTTTCAATGAATGCATTTTAATGTGCTTTTAATAAGTAACTGTAAGCGAGAAAGTATATCAGTAAGTTCATAATTTCCATTTTCTGTTAAACAGGCTTCATTTTCACAATTTCAGAATATACAATTTGCCTTGCAAAGATTCTACTTTGAAATATATGAAGTCCTAAAACTCCTAAAAACAGTATGCTAGAAGCAACAAGGTGTACTACTAAGTGACAGAATTGATATGTAAATTTGGACCTGGACAATTATGTACATGTAGCCTTAAAAAAAGAAAACAATTCCAGAAATGTTTGCATATCACCAGTTATAATAATACTGTATTAGGTAATAGCTACCAAAATTGTCCTTTCGAAAATCTTCTGGGAGTGACTTGTTCGTGTTGCTTCTTTGTATAAGAGAAAAGAAAAATAAGTTATTGAAATATCAGTATTACCTTTATGAAATAAAAATTAAGGCAAAGTCTATCTGAAATTTCTAGACCTACTTCTTGTATCGTGCAGTGTTTACAGCATTGCTGGATGTTAACTTCTAAAATGAAACAATAAAACAAAATTAGATTTTTTAAATTAAAACTTATTAACATTGCAAAATATACCAACTTCTAGAAAGAGTCTGTACCTGATTTGTCACAATATATCTGCAACTCTTTCCCTTCTTGTTTCTCAGCTGTAAAAAAAAAACAACAAAGTGAATCAGATAGGATTTTTAAAATCATTATCAAAATATAACATGTGAATGATCCTTGTCATTTGCGGTTAGATCAGGTTCCCTTCAATGAGTGCTTTTTCCTTTTAGGAAAAATTATGTTCTGCAGTCCCAATGTTTTCATATTATTTTAGGGCAGTAGAAAATACTTCTCACAAAGTATAATTAATCTATACAATTTGCTATGCTATCATATGATAGCCATCACATTAAACCGGCTACAAAACGGAATAAACTTGGTGATAGACATCAACAGCTATTAGTAATGACAATTTGTTAAATGTTCCTTACTGATGAGCCAATACCTGCTGCCCTGGATAAAACATTAGTGGAGAATTACTATTTAGTAGCTCACTTGTGAGCTTGCTAGTAGCATCAAACTGACTACTGATAGAAACAGAATATCTACTAGGACCTTTGACCTGGCTTAACAGAGTTTTTATGTTCCTATATAATCAATTTTCCAGTTTGTTCTGAAAGTAAGAGATAGTAATGACAACCATATTATTAATTTATTAATAATTACAGCTGTCTGACATTCCATTCCCAATCTTACAGCTGATGACAATTCTAGAATTCCAGAATTCTAGAATTCCAGTCCAAATGTGACTTCTGTTGTTAGAAAAAGGCTGGCATTAACCATTCACCACCCTGTTTTAGTTAATTCACCTTAAATTAATTTCCCCAACAACCTTTCCCAAAATGATTCAGCTCATATACTCAATATCATTGGCCATTAATTACCAGATTTTCACCATGAAGCTATCAGAAAAGATGATCAATTTAAATATCTAACTTGCTTATATGGATTGTACAGTACTACTAAAGGGGAATGAAGACTAAAAAGAAATGGAAAAATTCAAAACAATAGGGCAACATAGACCAAAGGAAAAGAACATGAAAGAGAACATTGGTCAATAATGGGAAAAAAAATAGAAAATAATGTTTATGTAAAGATAAATAAAGCATGCATGGTATGAAGTTCTGAGTATATGTTAGAACACTGCATATGCTTCATAGGTGGTGGGATGCAAGCAGCAATATGTTCGCTTTCAAGGTAGACTCTGTATTAGAGATCCTAGTTATAGAACACTTTGAAAGTGTTTGGGGTAAATTTAGGCTTTGGTTGCTCCAAATGTGCAAAAACTAACAGACATTGTCTTTACCATTTGTAGCCTACATTTTGTCTATCTAAGTAAAAGTGTTAGTGAATGCCCTAACTGACTAATGTCATGATGAGCAGCAGAGATCAATATCTAGGAGTCTATCTGCTAATGACTATGCTATATTGAAAATTGTGACCTGGAATGTAATAGGAGAAAATCATTCAGACCATGAATTAATGAATGAAAGGAAAGAAAGGAAAAATGTTGAGTAACTTTAAAACTAAGAAAAAAGGAGAAAATATAACAAATTTGAACGAGTTGTTAAATACATGCAGAGAAGCAAAGGTATAGGTTTAATTATGAATAAAAGGGCTAAACTGTATAAGTTGGTTTCATGTAGGTATTAAGCATGCTTATGAAAACAGAAATCCATAGGTTCATGATAGTAATATGTCACATTCCGGTGAATTGTGACAATGTAAGAACCAAAGATAAGTTTTCAGAAAAATTGTGCAACATTCTGAATGAATGCTATCTATGAGGGAAAAAAAATTCTTCTGGGAGAATAGATAAATTGATTAATTAATTAAATTTATATGCCACCCAAATAGGAATGAGATGAGACAGTACAGAAAAAGAGATTGAACCATTTGGAGACCCAATAACGAACTGAATGGGGACTGATGAGTATCTGTTCAGAAAAAGGTCTGTTGATTTTGAATGTGTGGCTTAAGTATAAACCTGTTCGTGCATATACATGGCAATAGCATGAATATAAATCTAAACACATAATTTATTTGATTGTTTATGATAAAAGGTTGAGAAAATAATTGAATGATACAAGGGTGATGAGAGGTTCTGAATGTGAAGCAGACCACTTCAAGATAGTGTCAGAAGAGGTTAATGGGAAAAATGGACCGGAAGAAAAGGAAATAAGTAAATGAAACTAGATTGCAGAAAGAAAAAGTATGTGACATGTATGAAAAAAATCTTAGAAGAATTAATCTCCCAACAGCGTATGGGAAATGGATAGAAGTAAAAAGGATGTGGAAGTACCTTGGAACACAATGAAAAGAATTCTGTAACAGAGTGCCACAGAAGCATATGGAGTTACACCAACAGGAAGTATGAAATAGAATACTTGGTGGAATGACAAAAGGGAAGAGGATGAGGATGAGAAAAAATGCATGCAAGAGAACAACTGCTGCAAAAATGCTGAGAGATTCTGTATATATAGAAGAAAATAGAGAGAGAGAAAATAAATTGCAAAAAGAATGTAGATAAAGCAAAGAATGGTTGAGATTAAAAGAGGCTGGGAAAATGCAAAATAATTTTGATGGAAATAAAAAATGGTTTGGGAAGTGATAGCTGGTAAGGAGGGCTAAACAAGGAGCCAACAGCAATAAAAAGTGTGATCAAATGATTTGAGATAAAACTGAAGTGAGGGAATACTAGGAGTATTTTGGAGAACTGAATAGGAATATAGTGGTATGTCAAAGAGTAAAATTGAGATGAATGCTATAAATGTTAGTGTCCTAGTAAAAACTGATGACAAGTAAGTGATACATTCTGAGAACATGTTGAAAATTGGTAAGGCTGCTTGAACAGATGTTGTAACTGGAAAAATGCTAAAATTTAGTTGTGGTTTGCTTATGAAATTGCTGTGAAATTTATTTAATGTACATATCAGTACCTGATGATTAGAATAATGCTCCTAATGTTCCCTTGTACAAAGGGAAATGTAGCAAGAGTAAATGCAAAAACTACAGGGGGATTTGTTTATCAAGTTTTGTATTGGAAAAGGTATTCAGCAGAATTCTAATTGAAAGGTTACAAGAGCAACTATGAGAAAAATTTGGAAACTGAAGTACAACTTTATACTGGGCAGAGGACTAGGCAGGAAAGACTAAAGATTTACTCTTTAGCAAGTCATTAAGAAATCTTTGACTGTATTTTTTTTAAATTTAAAGAAAGTGTGTGATAAACTGTATAGGCCTGATTTATGGAATATTTTGCATTACTATGGAGTTCAGGTTCGCTAGCTGATTGCAATTAGAGCAGTATACATGGAAGTAAATCATACATATATACTTAGCTGGAAACATTTGGTAGTTATTCTTTCTGCAATGGAGGTGTTACAAAGAATAAATGGAATGCTTTACAAATGATTCAGTACTGACCAGTGAGTAAGACAAGGATGCATGATGTCCCCTTGATTATGTTTAATATATGGAATATATTTATTGCAATAGCAAGTTAGACATAAATGGCCAAAAAAAAAAAAAAGTAATCTGGCGCATTTCAGTACCTTGGTAAAATGTTTACTAAAGATGAGAAAATGGGTGGAGAGATTTTGAGGCATGCAAATACTAGTAGAACGGCAGAAGGTCTGTTGCGAGAAATAAATGTTTGTCAAAAGAACCAAAATGAGAGGAAGGAAAAAACAGGAAGACTCTTAGCTGGAAACATTTGGTAGTTATTCTTTCTGCCAATGGAGGTGTTATAAAGTACGGACTGGAGGGGTCAATATGTTTGCATCTGCTTATAGTCACTTTAAAAAAAAAATCTGAATCCATAAACAAACAATTGCACATAAAAGTAAGTATACATTCAAATTTGCCAAAACATCTCTTATTTAATTTTGTACTATGCAGGCATTGTGTCAGCTTCTGTTCACTTAAAGATTCTGAAATATACAGTTAGACCACAAGTGGCTACACTTTTGCGTATAACTGCATGTAACTTTTATTTAGTCTGGACTTTTTTTTAGTTGCCATGAATACCACAGGCAAAACATATTTGATCCTACCAAAGTCTCTTGTAATTCAGAATGCTGCTTCCAACAGTAGCTGACTCAGCTTTTTCTAGCCTGGTGCCGTTCTGAGTGCAGGCACAACAAATGTGACATGTTATCATTCTCAATATCTGGTAATCTGAGTATGAGAGCTCCACCTATTATAGTTATTACTATTTAATCAATTTAACCATAATTTTCTCAATTCTTAATCTGAAGAAGAAATACACTTTAGCAGTAATAATAAAGGATACTTTCTGAAGTATTAACTAGAATGAGCAAGTATCATACCTTGGTCTTTGTTAATTGTTTTCAGACTATGTTATGTCCTTCTTAACCTAAAGAGTCAAATAATTTGCTTTCATTTCTAAGTATCTTCTTGCCATCTTGCAGAGCCATTCTGTTAGATCTTTCCCACACAAATGCTACAATTAATGATAAATAAAGAATACTCACGTGGTTCATTTACACTTGCCTCATCTGTCTCTGCAAGTAAAAAGGTGGACTTGGTGAGACAGAAAGATTTGCTGACTTGTTAACATTTGGGATTACTTGTTTGTTTAAAATATAAATAGGTATAGAGATATTAACATATGTGCATCAAGCTATATTTGTTACTCAGGGACAGCAACCATTTCCTTCAATTCTTTTCCAGACCATCCTGTTTTACCACTTTTCCTGCCAATCTCAAAGGACCTGTTGTTGTGGCACCCTGACAGAGTCTCATGTGAACATGTATTATGTTTGAGAAAGAAAACTGTTTGCTGAGATAAAATATCATTCACTTATCTCATAAATCACCATGAGAACAACATATACAAAGGACAACACAGAAGTACTACCTTTGTTAGAGGCAAAAAGCTGACTTATATACATAGCTACTGGCTGCTGTTTCAATAATGTTTAAAATATTAAAATAGGACAAGACAATGTGAGTAAGTGGAACCTTGGCGTGTTGCAGAATTAGATACTCCAGTCCCATTCTGCCAGTCAAATTGTGTCCAGGATACTTCATTTCCTTCTCCTCTCCTTCCTCTATTTTTCAACTTCCTCCCCAAATGATCAGTGGGAAGAGGTCTATACTCATTTAACATATTCAGTGCCTTAGGAGCAGTTTGGATGGAGAAGTTTCCCCTTTAAGGTTTCCCCCTTAAAATTACCCATTAATTGTTAATGTTCATGAAAATTAACTGTATAATTACTGACCAGACTCACTTTCAGAGCTTTCTGAGTCACTGCTGGAACTGTCATTACCTTCATAAAATGAAAATGTATTAGTCTTAGTAACAGTTAAACAATAATGTAGATTAAAATGATACAACTGAATGTAACAAAGTGTAATCTAAAAGGAAGCTTTGCCTATTCTAGATATGGCAGTTCTGAACTTAGAAGAAAATGGTATATGGGAAAAATGATGAGTTTTTCAATTTCTACAAACTCTTGTGAGCTCATTCTCAAGACTCTTTACTCACCCACTAGAATTTGACCACTGCAACCTATATTTTACTTATGATTTTTAAGGTAAATTCCATCATATGCTAAATATGATGATATAGAAATTCTTGAAGAAAACAGCAGCCTATTACACCATGTAGGGAATGGGAGATTTGAACTTCAATTGTATCCACACAAAAATATCTATGCATCAATGTTGGACACATGTTCTATTACTTTAAAAAAATGTTAACAAGGAATTTTGCATCCCTTTTAGTTCAGACTTTAGCTGGTTGGTGTAATTATGCTATGGAAAAAGCTTTGTACTTGATTTTGTTCAAAAAGTTAATAATCACTCAAATCTTCTTTTTCCTCCTTCTGCTCAAATTTGTTTGGCTGCAATCCAAATATTTAAACTGTTAACAATAAAACATAATAATGCCTTTGACAAATTCCTAAAGTATCCTATGAGGGCATAATCAATTCCTAAAAGTAACAATAATTGAAACTAGAAACAATGAAGATATAATATATTAAAACTAAAACAACATTCCTCATTTGGCAGAAGTTTTCAATAGCCATTATTACCAGGAAGATAATATTTATTTTCTTGTGCAATTTTATCAATTTATTTTTCTTCAGCTTTATTGTTACAGGTATAATTACATAATTTGGGGAAAAGAATATAAAATTAAATATCCATTATCTCCCTAAAAAAGAGGTGGGCAATACAAGGTCATGAGGGCCACAAACTCCCTTTGTTTTTTGCCTAGAGATTCTTTCCAGCCACAACTGCATTACTGGTATGGAGCTAAGGTTTTTCCATAATTTTGAATCGGAAGCCTACAAGAACTGTAGTGCAAGCCCAAAATTGAATTAGCAAGTTTACAAAGAATACTACCGTGCCAAAAGCCAGTAAAACACACTAAAGCCCATTCACTGCAGCCCTCCCTCCCCCAAAAATGTTAAATGCAGCCTCCAGCCTCTAAAACAATGTCTAGCCCTTCCTACAATAAAGGAACAAATAAAATTTAAAGCATCCTTGTGAACCAAATGTGTAAAACTGAGAGTGATTGCAGGTCCTAATTTGTGAGCTGTACCCTGACCCCATCCAAAAAAATGAAGCATAAATCAGCATCATTATACTTCATTTGCACATTTGTTTATTAATCTGCAATGCAAAACTGGCCAGGCCCTCATTTTTAATCCAACAATAATCACAAGATGGCAGGGACAACTTGAATCAGTTTCCCAAAACATTATGGGAAAGAATGAGAATCTCAGGGAAGAATGAGTTTATGCAATGAGCAAACACACAGAAACAGTTGCAAATGCAAAAACAAAACGCATAGAATTGGACTGTTATGAAAGAGGAAGAGTCATCTGAATCAAGAGAAATTTAAACAGAATGGCAAATAGAAGAAGTATTAAAGGAGATAACAATCATAATTTAAAAAGCAGGAAGATGAACACTTCAAAATGGAATAATGGGTCTGAGGGAAACAAGACTGCTGAAGTGAGGAACTGTAACAACGGGATTGGAAGAGGGAAGGTAGCAATTTCTGTCAAGTTCACTCATCCAATGAACCCGTGAAAATCTGTTTTGATTGATTGGAGAGACACTCCAAGCAGCATGAGAGTCCTCCCTTCAGGGAAGGAGGAATCAATGAAAGTATCTCACCTCCTCCCCCAGAGGCCAGTAAACAAAACGAAAGTGAGCAAAACTCCACTCACGGCAGGGCCAAGGGCAGCCCTATCGTTATGCAGAATGAAGCAGTCAGCTTAGCCAACAGCTACTAAGGAGAAGCAGCATCTCTATGGGAGGAGCTGCTGAAAAAACTATGGGAGCCCAAGTAGTCTACCTTGCCACGTCTCTAAACTGATCTGCCATCCAAAGGTCTCGTGAAAAACCCACTCCAATAGAAGAGAATATATGTAGTTCAGGGCTGAACTGTGGAGTTCTTGGCACTCTCTGAGCTTGGTTGTTTGCTTGCAGATATTTCATGACCCAACTAGGTAATATCATCAGTGTGAGGCAAACAACCAAGCTCAGAGAGCACCAAGATCTTCATAGAAAAAGCTACTGCTTCTAGCCATTTCTACATCTTGGACCAGTCAAAGAGAGTCCTTGCAGGTCAAAGTAAACACTTAACCAAATTCAGGACTACTACTACTACTACTACAACAAAGCAATGCCTTATGAAGGATGGTACCAAATGGCACCTCTCCTTAGCATCATTAAATCCTGAGATAATAATTCAGAAGTTAGCAAAATGGTTCTACAGGAGGGCCTGGCAAGGTCTCCATTATACAAGAGTAAGTAATCTGCTGGGGATTGCACTGTATGCCAGTGAAGGGTGAGTAAGCATGGGCAGAGCAAGAAGCAAAAGTCAGTGGACATACCATTTTCTTTCTTTCTGAAACCCTAAATTCTTTTTTTTTTCAGGAATCTATTTTTTTTGTATGTGTCTCTTTTTCCGACACCTCTTTTTCCCTTTTCTCTTCCTTCCAGCTTTTCAGGAAAGGAATAAATAATGATATCTAATTAATATATCAATTTCTTAATAAAAGATACACTGCATAGATTTTTGAAAAATTAATTACCTTTGTCATCCTGAGAGGTACCATCAGATTCACTGAAAAAATCAAACCAATTAACATTTAAATAGATGAGATCCTTTGTAGCTTTAAATATTGCTAAATGCATCTTAATAAGAAAAATGAGTGCATTCATTCAAACATTTGAACCATTTCTTTGTTGACTATCATATAAAGCCATAATGTCATAAACAGATTTGCTACGTAAATCTTATGAATGAGACATTGTTTAGTAAATTCTATAGATTCTTTAATCAACAACCCTGCTCCTTCTACAATTCAAGCTCTGTGCTAGAATTGCTAGACCAAGGAGTCAAATTGTAGCAGGATCAATACAAGACTCTGTCCAAAGCTGACTGATTAATACATGAATGTGCAACTCCAATTTGAGTACCAACTCAAATGTTATATAGCACATAGTTTTATATAGCATCTGAAGTAATTCAAAACAGGATTATTATTGTACCAGAGATTGTGTCAAGTTATCCTATGTTACACTCTTCTTTTTGGAAAGTCCTCCATCTGAAGACTTTTGCTATTAAAAAATCATAAGAAGGCACAGCAAAGACCATCACTGCTTAGCATCTCAACAGAAACAGACAAAGCAAATACACAGGACATCTGGTCACAAACTTACCTTGTCTGATATGATGTTGCTATTAAAATTATGATAATTCTTTTTAAAATGCCTGATATCTATGGAAATTGAATGCCAATATGCCCTTTTTTATTACACATTTCCTCTTTTGAGGAGATGTATAAATGGTTAAATGAGACTGCACTGGAATGGTATTTCCATTTCTTGGTTCAGTTCCTATCTTACATATCTCACTGGCCAGTTGTATACTGCCATTAAAAAAACAAAAAACAAATACAGATACAAACTTGAGACTACCTGACCCAAGATTTTTATTAAAAAATGGTTGAAATGCAGCATTCACTCTTTCTGCTTCAGCAAACAATTCAATAATGGTATCATATTGGGTCTCAGTATGTTTTTAGAAAGAAGTTAATACAGTAGCTTTAAAAAAAAACTTGACTAACAATCATGTTGGCATGATGGACTGTCAGAATCCACACATATGCTGGGGAAGTAAGACAGCAAATTATGCAAATTTTGGAAAGATAAGGAAAAGACTCATACACTTTATTTTCCTTTGCATTCAGTTAACTGTGTGACTGTTTCCTGAGATAATAACTGAACAAGCTTCAGAGAATAAAATATTCAGCAAGAGTACTGTTATATAAATTCAGTGTTGATATTGCTTCCATTTTATTAATGGAATTAATTTTAAGAAACATTCTAAAACTTTACAAAATGTATACGTCAGTTATAACTACATTTTCTAAAGCATTTTTATAACCATATCCTTTATTTTGTTTTGATTACTGTACATCTAGGTTTAATTTAGGCTGTTATTTTTATAATAATAAAATAATCCGCACTGTACTTAATCAATTTACACTACAATTGTATTCAAGTTTGTTCAGAAATTTAGTTCCCTGTTAAGGCCTATACATACCTACAGCCAGATAGGATAGGGCTATAGATTTAGGGCTTTCTACTGAAATCACAGGATTTTACAGGTAACTATTTAATTGCTGAAATAGTGACATCTTTCTAGAGCTTTGTTGCCATCATCTAAAAACTGGATTAGAAGATGATGCTAATGACATAATCTGGCATGTGGCAGCCAGGACATTATGATAAAATAAATGGATAAAACATCTAATTCATACTTTAATGTTATTTCACACTTACACATTGCTATACTGGTATATATTTCCCGAATTTGCACATTACTGTATTGGTTTTTTCAAGTTACAAGGGGCACACTGTTTGCTTCTTTTCCATAATACCTATTGAATAACCAATTTATTTATGTGCCAAAAAGGCAAGGAAACTACTAGTGTTTTAAAGAATTTAAAACATAGACAATATTATGCACAAAATGCATTGAGCAAGTCACAAAATAAAGTCCTTAGTTTTGTATAATAAGCTTTTGATAAAAAGCAAGAGATACTCCAAGATCAGTTTTTAACTAAGAATAACAGTAACAATTAAATGTTAAATGCAGATCTTTTTAAAGGGTAAGAAATCTGGGTACCTGATTCACCCAACACAGCATCCATGGGGAGAGCCAACATCTGCAAGATGGTATGAGGTTATGCTCAAACGTCCTCCCCTCTTGTACATGCAGTTACAAAAGGGGATGGGGCTTTAATTGTGATGCTGCATCTGCCATCTTGCTGATTTTGACCACCCCCTGCAGACTCCCTTGACCTAGCTCAAGGTCTTTCCCTCTGGCATGCCAAAGGGTGATACAAATAATATGTGCGTGCATTATACTGGTCTGGTCTTTGCCTCATTTCTTTGAGGGAGAAAGAACATACATACTGGACATCCACACGGCTACGTCCAATGGGAAAGGGTCTTGCACTGCACCTGCATATATCTGTGGATAACTGGTCAAACCTAAATTTTACCTGTGAACACATGAACTGGCCATGAGAGAGTTCACCTTTGACAACAAGGCATTCCTAACTCTGGTTGAAGGACTATAATCATTTTCATGGAATGTAGTATACAACAGGATGTACCTATTGCCCCAAGCTATAAGGGGATCTATTTGATTTTGATGTAGCATTGTCAGTTTGTAATCATGGCATATGACTTAGTATGTTCAGTGAATCCAACCATGATTCATTCCATAAATTCTAGCTAAGTAACTCAAGACTTAGCATTATTTTTCAGCCCAGTTTATTGTTCTTCATCTTTACATTGCATAGAATCTACTGAAGTCTAATTCTCTTTGTGTGTCTGAAAGAATCTTCTCTGGAAATTTAATGAATTAAATTTAATTCCACAGGAATTTTGCCTCTCATTTATTTTTTGGATTTCTATCCTGCTTTTCCTTTAGGACTGCCACAGTACGCCTTCCCTCAAAACTTTTTTCCCCAACATCGATTCTGTGAGGTATTCTGGGCTGTGTGTGTAAAATCCTCCAGGGAGCTTCTGTGGCCAAGGGCAGACTTGAATCTGAGTCCCCCTGATGCCAGTCCAACCTTTAAGCATTACTGAGACTCTAGGCTCTTTTGGTAGGTATGACTGGAGTATTCACACACATTTCACAGTAGGTAAGAAATGTGGCACAATACAGCATAGAGGTGGGGGAGTTCCATCAGCCTTGATCGTTACCGAGCACAGATGGCGCAAACAGACAAGGCATCCATTTCTCCTTTTCATAATTGTAATTCTGACTGCCTGAGGTAGGCATCTGTTAAGATCAAACTATGCTTCACTGCATTTTGCCATAACAAATGTCAAAGAAAGTTTAGAAATTAGTAATAGCTGAGGTGAGAAGGGAGGGAAGAGGAATCCAAGTAGCTATCAAAGATCCCTTCAAGGGGGAGGGGGGGAAGGAAGCTAGATACTGTATGAAATTTGAGATTCGTTGCAGTTAATGTATATTTCTAGCTTTGTATATAGGTTTTCCTGCTACATGTATTTTTATCAAAATACATTAGGTTTTTCATGAATCTGTATACAGGTAGTCCTTGACCACAATTGAGACCAAAACTTCCATCACCAAGTGATGTGGTCATTAAGTGAATTGTGCCCAATTTTATGACCTGTTTTGTCATGGTCATTAAGCAAATCACGGTTATTGTTAAGTGAATCCAGCTTCCCCCATAGACTTTGCTTGTTGGAAGCCCCCTAGGAAGGTCACAAATAGTGATCACATGACCCCAGGACACTGCAACCGTCATAAATACATGCCAGTTGCCAAGTACCTAAATTCTGATCATGTGGGGATAATGTGGCAGCTGTGTGAGGACCAGTCATAAGTCACTTTTTCAGCATGGTCATAACTTCGAGTGGTCATTAAATGAATGGTTGTAAGTTGAAGATTACATGTACAAGTGTTAGCCTGAAGTTTTTTTCCTATTTCATAATTGCATTTGCTAAGATTATAATTTCTTTCATTTTCTTTTTATCTCTCAAGTTTTTTTGTTTTATAAAATGAAAGTTGAGATGAAAGCTGGGAAATGGTTACTCTAAGATTTGATGCGGTTTTCTTCTGATATTAGTTTGAATGGCTGGTTTCCTTCTAATATTGGTTTGAATGGCTAAAGAAACAGGGTGATGGATGAGAAGACCAATTTGACCTTTGGATATTATTGCATAAGTTGAAAAGCAAAGAGTGTAGCTATGGTCTATGTATCTTAAGTGATGTACTTGATGTTTCCAAACAATTTTTCTAAAGGAAGCTACAATGATATTTCATGTATTTATCTTTAAACAAGGATCCCATTTTTAAAGTTAAATAAAAGTAGGTGGAGTATTTAAGTTCTTTAAATGTTTCCTATAAACTCTGTCAGCAACCCTTACAAAAGTCATCCGAGTTTTTAAAAATGTCATACTCTAGGTGAAACTACTGATGCTAAAAGAACTGTCTTGATGTCAGTCACTAAACTGCATGTGAGCTCACGCTTCCACTGATGCAAGAAAAAATAATGTAGTAATAGGGAAGGACTTATGGGATGAATGTCAACTAAGGGAATACTTGGCTGGTGTCCAAAAGCCAAGCAGGGTCGAATCTGCACGGAAGATCGCTAGCAAATCACTGAGCGAGGCAGGAAAGTAAAAAAAACAAAAACGAAAACAAATCCAGGAAGAAGACAACGGCAAAATTACCGTTTTGCCGCCAAGAAAATTACATGGATGTGGCCGTGAATCCTCGAAGGAGAGTTTATTTTCAATGCACGTTAAATTCGTTGTTGGAAAACGACTACCCTCTGCCCGACTCAGAGCAGAAAGAAGCCGCAGGAGGAGCCCTCTCCGCCCCACCCCCCAGAAGAAGCGACCCGGGGTCGGACACGAGAGGAGGCTTTCCCACGCGTACGGGTCCGGGGACGCCCAGCCGGAGAGAGGCTTTTCCTCCGCTCCGCCGCGTCAACAACACACGCACGCGCACTAACTCTACGACGATTGTTTTGCTTTTATCCTCCAAGCATCCTCTGTCTCTTCCCGGCCTAAATTTTTTAGCGACCGTCTTTCTTGCGCCACGGGGACGGGCGGGCTGCCACGAAAGGCTCCCGCCTGCTTCCTTCAATACCTGCCCCATCCTCCTCCGCTCTCATGCCTTATACAATGGCGCCTTCCCTTTGTTGTTGCCCTGAGCGGAGCGTGCTGCCCGCCAGGCGCTGGGAACGGGTGCCAGGAAAGCGAGGCGCGCGCGCGCGCGGCACACCTCTCCTCTCGGGCGAGCGGCGAGATGCAGGGGCGGGCGGGCGAGCCCTCCACGCAGGCAGCGCTGTTCTCTCGCAGCGCTTCCAGCTCTGCTCTGCTCTGCACGTCCGCTCATCCTTGCTGCTCCAGGAGACTCAGACTCACCTGCCCCGCATCTGGCAGCACCCCTGCTCGCCAGTCATCTCGGACGCGGAGACGAAGCACACTGAGGAGAAAGAGGCTTCTGCAAGCCAGCGCTGATTGGCGGATGCGCGGCTAGGGGAGGGGGCTGAGGGGAAGCGGCGGGGGAGGCGGCGGCTCGAAGCCCTCCCAGAACGTGCAGCGGCACGCTTGGCAGCGGGAGCCTGAGAAGCGATTAGAGGAAAAGGCGCCAAAGCGTCCCGAAGGTGCTGAAAGAGAGCAGCGCAGGGCTCCGGGGCGCTTAGCTCGGTAACAGGCCGGACCCTGGTGCCTGCGTCCGGTCCCAGGTTACCCGGAAAACGCCATCGTCTTCCAGTTCGTTTTGTAGATTTTTCTGAAGGTCTCTGTGGGAAGCAGGGTGCTGGCGTAGGCGGACGGTTGGCGGTTTTTGTGTTCTCACAGAAAAAGCAACAGCAAAAGCGAAACGGTGACTTTACCCGCTGCTTTAAAAATCACCAGTCGGTCCCCTGCCCAGGTGGAGTGCAATAATTGGACGTGTTGCATCTGTAACAGTAGTTGAGGATTCAGGTGAACTCCTTGAGGGTGGGGAAGAGAAACACTGGAAGAGTTAGCCTTGGGGCAGCCCCTGGCCCTGGGCTGGGAAGTGGGGCAGGGCTGGGCCTCTTAGAACTTGGGTGGGATCCCTCCAAGGAATCCCAGAGCTGCAGAAAGCTGGGAAGGTGAAAAAAACGCCCCTGCCCAAAGTATGTGAGCTCGCACTTTCATTGATGCAGGAAAAAAGTAATACAGTAATGGGGAAGGACTTACGGGAGGAATGGCGATTAAGGGAATACTTGGCTGATGTCCAAAAGCCAAGCTGTTTTGCAGAGCTCTGCACCTGCATAGTGGGCTTGCTTGGGTTTGCAGACTTTGGCCAGGCTTTTTTCCTCCCCACCCCCCAGCTCTGCCTCTCAGAGGTCTTGCAGCTCCAAGAATTGACCTGTTTCTTTTGCTGTCTGAAGACTCCTGCTGAGGTACTTGCCTTTGGTTTGGAGTCTTCTGTTTCCTGAGTTTTTCACATCTTCCTGGAATAACTTCCTTGACACACCCACACATGTGTTTGCTTTCAGTTCCCTTTTTACAGTATAAAACAGGCTCTCCAGCTGAGCAGAGGGTGGGGCTGTTTTAACCCCCTTTCTGGGTAGCACTGAAAGTCTGGATCCCAGGAGGGAAAAAATGCGTGCTCACTCCTGGTGGTGAGTTCACTCTTCCACACTGGTCCTCAAAGGAGTGAGTTCTTGCTTCAGGACTGATCACTGGTCTCTAGTTCAGAACATTTTAGCTAATTCTTGTGAATTAATTCTTGTAAGGTAAGTGTGTATTAATTAATTTTTGTAAATTAATCTGTTGTTTAAACAACAGGTTTCCGTCTTCACATTTTATTTATTTTATAATATTTAAAACAGCCCAAAGGAGAAATGTATACAAAATAAATACAACATCCTTGCATTTCCAAATTGTAATAAAGTTAGACCAAGAAAAAACTGGCCAATTACTTACCAAAAAGAAAATCAAAGCATAACAGTTCTTTCTTGGCATGGATTCAGGTTTTAACCAAGCTCCTTCTCTTTATTTATTCTCAGTTATATCTTAGTACAAAATATTCATCTTCTTCCAGGAAGAAAAGTAATACATAGCCCTTTAACTGGTAGGCTGTGTAATTATCAGAAATATATGGCTTGAATCATATTTTGAAGTTCAGCATTGAATAACCAGTGTCAAGGAGTTTAGGACAGTAGGAAATAAAGGCCACACCTTATTGATATTTTATTAGAACCATCAACTCAGAGGGTCTTAGGTTTGCAAGATGTTTCCATGAAGTATCAATTAGTATTAGGAGGCAGAATTTAAGCGCTATTTATATTATTCTTCCCCTATTTTAAATCATTCTTGCTAACAAACTCAAAACCTGTAAAGGAGTAGTATATCCTTTCTGATTTCCTTCCTTGCAAGAACATTTTTAACTATAATAGGGTACATGACCCGGACAAATGTAAGTACTTAAGTCCTATGAATTACAATGCAAGCACTCATTTAATCTTTGAGTAATGGAAATCAACTGAAGCTTAATTTAACATTTTCAGATCTTTATTGTTTCTTCCATTTAGTCATTTGCATACCTCCAAATGAAGGTCACTGGTACATATCAAAGGAATTCTATAAAAGATGTAGGTGTTTTGTATTCTTTATATAATACTGAAACAAACTTTAGTTAAATACTAAAGTAATGGTATCATAAACATGTTTTCAGGAAGGTCCCAAACACATTTTCTTAAGTCAAGATTTTAAGAATTTCCATTTCTTAAATGGAATATTTACATAAAATATTGTATAAAATAATATATAATATACATCATATATCAATGGGATAGAAACTGCATTGGTTGCTCTGTGGCAGTGGTTAAATGTGGGGAGAGCATGATTGTACTAGTCCTGCTAGATCTTTTAGCAGCCTTCAATACCATAAACCATGGTATCATTCTGGACTACCTAAAATGGTTGGAAAATTGGGGGGACTGTTCTTCAGTAATTTAGCTCCTTCCTAAGTGGGTTGTTTCAGGCAGTGCACACTGAGTAGGAGAGGTCACGTTCTCGGTAGGGGGGATGCCTCAAGGCTCGAGGCTTTTCCCCCTCCCCCTTCTTATTTAACATCTATATGAAGCTGCTCAGGAAGGTCGCCCAACAGTTTAGGGTTTAGTGCGATCAATATGCTGGTGATACCTTAGTTCTGGGTACATCTCTGTCCCAGGCCTTCTGAGAGATACAGCAGAAGTCTTGTTTTGGTGCTTGGAGGATGTCAGGGTATGGTTGGAGAGAAAAGGTTGAGACTCAAACCCTAGCAAAATGGAGGGGCTGAGGGTTCAGAAACCAACTTACTCTGGGATGACTCCAACTTTAGCTCTGGATGAGGTTTTGCTCCCTCAAAAGAGCTAATATATAATCTGGAGGTGCTTCTGAGCTCTCAGTTCCTGCTGAAACAGCAGATAGAAGCTGTGATCAAGAAGGCCTTTGTCCAGCCAGTTAGTGCATCAGTTGGAAGGATTCCTGGAGCAAAAGGTGTTGGTTACACTACAGTGCATTCTACCTGGGACTGTGCTTGAAGACCACCCAGAAATTGCAACTAACACAAAATGAAGTGCCCTGCATGTTAACAGGAATAGCCTGGTATGCTGCCCATTTATTTCCAGGTGCAATTCAAAGTGCTGGTGATCACCTTCAAAGTCCTGCAGGTTTTGGGACCTGCTGTCTCTAAAAGTCTTTGTTCCATATAGAATCTGCCCACCTACAATGTGTCTACAAAGAGTACTTTCTGAGAGTTCTCACTCCTTGCAAGGTGAGATGAAAAGGAATTTGGAAAGAGCATTCTTCACAGGGGTTTCCCTTCTGTGGAACGCCCTCCCATCAGTTATCAGGGCTCACTTCTAATATTCAGGAAGGTTTTTAAAACTTGGCTTTTTCAATGTGTGTTTTAGAACTAAGGTAAGAATAGGTAAAAGTATTAGTTTGGAATTAGTCTGGTTGTTTGATGATGTAGGCATCAAGGTTTTATTATTGTAATATAATTGCTGAATGTATTTTTTGATGTATTGATAATTTTGACACTTCTGTTGTTTACTGCATTATTTTAGATTGTCTGTTGTTGCTTACAAGTCACTTAGGATATGGTGACTGAAGCAGCATAAAAGCCTTTGTAATAAATAAGTAATCACCAGATTGATGATACAAATCTTGTGGAGGAAGAGCAAACATCCCTTCCCTCTGCTTTGCACATAATGTGGCTTAATGAGGCACCTTAGGAGGACGCTGATATGCACAAAGGCCTGATTCATATTATTGTTTGCCATCCAATAGAAGATGAGAAAAACTGCATGGATGAGGCCATCATATATATAGGTGTACACAGAGAGATGTAACATCTCTTTCTGCTCAAACAAAGGGATTTTAAAAATTATTTGTATCCAGATGATGTGGATAAGACAGGAACATCTATGTGGTCCCTGTGTATACTAATATGGCCTTGGAGAGTTCTTTTAATAGCCACTTTCTCCACCATATTTTGATTTTTAAAACATTGCTTTCATTTTAAAAGTTTCTACTTTCCCCGGCCCATAGATATTTTTAGAAAATAAAAATAATGGATGGATACAACCAAGTTCTTTGTTTGGAAGTGGGCCCCTTTACAGACAAAAAAGGCAAAAGTAAAGAGGAGTTTAAATAGCTCTGGAGGATAAATATGGCTGTGCAGGCAACCTCACTAATTTGGTAAATGGCTGTTTTCTGACTGCTCATGTCTGTCGCAACAGCCATTTTATGAACATGAACCCTACATGGCTGCCATTTTGTCAGGTGTTCAAAATTCCAAATAGGCCCATAGGCCCAAAACATTGCCCAGCTCTGGGATGAGTTGAAAGCTATAGTGGTAAGTTGTTTGAAAGGGAAACAAGGGGATAATGAGGGAACAAGATACTAGAAACATTCACATGATACAATCAAATCACTTTATTTCATTCAATGACCAAATCATATACATACTGTTGCAAGATAATATAAATCAGCAGAAAAATATCCAGGCATAAAATAATGAAACCATTTATTTATTTATTAAATTTGCAAGCCCCTGTATCTCAGATAAGGATACAGAGGTAAGGAAAGCTGCGTTATGTGAATCAAGGGGCAGTAATGCACTACAGGTCCCCACACAAAATTCAGTAACCTTTATGTTAAGCCTTTATGTTAAGCTCAGTGTGAACTAGCAAGCAAAAAAGTGGGTTGTGGCATGTGGTAGCACTGTAAACTAGGAACCATAAGAAAGAACAATGCATTCTTATATAGGTCTGTAATAAACTGGGCTTCAAAATCTGGATGACCACTAGAAGGCAGCAAAGAGATACAGAAAACTCATTTGCTATCTAGTGGTTATTTAATTTTTGCCATCTAGGTATGGTAGACCTACCTTATAGCCTCTCCTGCTTAGAAGGAGATGTTCTGTTCAACTTCCTTAGAAGTTCAAAGGCAATGCTTTTCTAAAATTGTTAAACTGCAT